ATGTGTTTTTAGCCGTTTCTTGAAGATGGTTAAGGACTCGGCTGCTCGGATTGAGTTGGGCAGGTCATTCCACCAGGAGGGAACAGTTAATGTAAAAGTCCTTGAAAGTGATTTTGTGCCTCTTTGATATGGCACTATAATGCGCCGTTCATTTGAAGAACACAAGCTTAGAGAACACATAATTCTGAAGTAGTGAATTTAACTAAAGGGATGCAGAGCCAGTGGTGGTTTTGTAGGCAAATATCAATGCCTTGAATTTTATGTGAGCAGCTATTGGTAGCCAGTGCAAATTGATGAACAGAGGTGTGACATGCGTTCTTTTCAGCTCGTTAAAAACTAATCTTGCAACCGCATTATGGATTAGTTGTAGAGGTTTGATAAAATTGGCTGGAAGACCTGCTAAGAGAGCATTGGAATAGTCCAGGTTGGATAAAACAAGAGCTTGAACAAGGAGTTGTGTAGCATGTTCCAAAAGAAAGAGCCTGATCTTCCTAGGTTGTATAAATCAAATCTGCAGGACTGGGCAGTTTTAGCAAAGTGGTCTGAGAAATTCAGCTGATCATCAATCACAACTCCAAGGTTTCTGGATGTCTTTGAAGGAGCTATGGTTGATGCGCCTAACTGGATGGTGAAATTGTGATGAAGTGATGGGTTTGTTAAACCACAAGCAGTTCTGTCTTGACTAGGTTGAGTTGAAGGTGATGGTCTTTCATCCAGCAAGAAACGTCAGTCCTGGAGAGCCGCAGCCCTGCAGAGTTTTGCTTCAACCCTAATCAAACACCTGAACAAGCTAATCAAAGACTGAAGGGTTGCTAGAAAGCTATAGGCAGGTGAGTTTTAATTAGGGTTGGAGCTGAGCTCTGCAGGGCTGCGGCTCTCCAGGACCGGAGTTCGCCACCACTGCCCTAGACCCTTACATCTGGGACGTAACGCGTCACAGTAACCAGAGGGTTCGAAAATTTATTAAAGGCAAGAGCAGCATTTGCATGGCACTCGCAAGTTCTCTTTAACAAAAATTAGAATTTCACTGAAAATATACCTTTTTAACACTTCTCCTTGAGCATTTTGTTACAAGAAAAGTTCAAAAATGTACTCTTCCTCAGACCACTCAAGACGTAGAGTTTGTTTCTTTTGTAAAGATTTGGAAAAATGCAGCATTACATCACTGGTTCGCCAGTGGATCCTCTGCAGTGAATGGGTGCCGTCAGACTGAGTCTCCAAACAGCTGGTAAAAACATTACAGTAATACACATGACTACATTCCATCAATTTAATGTCCATTTTCCGTAATAACACTTCCGTCAGTAAAAATTAATGCAATACATGATGCTGATGTGCTTGTCTTGTAATTTCAATTAATATTGTGAAGTGAAATATTATGAACATTTGTTACTTTCTGAGCTGCATGGTTTTTTTAGATGCATGCCATGTTCTCTATTGATAACTTCCCTGCCGAGTCTGTTTGAATGATACTGACAATAAGAAATGGCAGTAACCAGACTGAGAGCTGTTCTTAGCTAGTCATTCATTTAAAGATCAAAAACTAAAGGCCATAAAATGCAAACCAAAAGGACATTGCAAGCACGTATTTGACATATCAGGCTTGCAGAATATCACTTCTAAAACTTCATTGGCTCCTCCACTTTGGGATTACAGTAACGGTGACTCCTTGTTTGTTTATGCTGGGTTAGCTAGCAGTCTCTTGAGCTGTTACCAGGGTAACAGACTCCTCAGAGAAACCATTATAGGAAAAGCCAAGCATAAATGCTTTAACTGACACACAGCTCATATTAGTTTATCTGCGATACACATGACAAAATATGTAGTTTTCAGGAAATGGTGCAATTTGTGCTTGAAAGCCCTAAAAAATGTTTAACATTTCATTTCCCCCCCCATGCATCTCAGGCCCAGCACTGTTCATAATTTCAGAGAATTATCATTAGCGGTCAGATATAAATTTATGGATTAGTAATTCCTTAAGTATTATCCTTATACTATACATGTATTCATTTGTCACCCGTCCTCTTCTGCTGTTCCTTCCTGCTTCGGTGTATGACGTTAAACAGCTTTTTGACCAGCTAAACTGGAAGAGGGAGACTGGACTCCAAATCGTGATTCAACTTGGCCCGTAAAAAAGTATGACGACAAACCACTTCACTTGACCTAAACTGTCGTTGCTTTCCTTTTTTCAATTATTTATTTTATTTTAATTTTTTTTTCTATTGCTAAAAAGTTGGTTGTATTTTAGACTGCAAAAAAAGATTTTCTAGAAAATTACATTATACCCTGTGGAAGCCTGTTTCTGCCACAGAAAAAAAAAAAAAGGTAACTGACATTTTATCTCAACTTGGATTATTTTTTTTCTTATAATTCTGAGAAGGAAAAAAAAGAAATTTTGAAAGTGTAAACTCAGAATTGTGAGATATAAACTTGTGAGATTTAAACTTTAGCATCCTGAGGAAAAGGTCAGAATTATGAGATCTTTTTCCTTCACAATTCTGAGTTTACATCTCGCAAATATATGGATGCCTGTACTTTGGAAGAAATAAAATTAAAGGTAATTGTGACTTCTCACAATTTGGACAATTTTCAGAATTGCAATAAACTACATATAAACTCATAATTCAGACTTTTTGCCTGCATTTCTGAGATTACATCCGATGTCTCCTAATTCTGTGATTACATCTCGCAATTGATTTTTTTTTTTTTTTTTAAAGGGAAATTGCAACTTTTTGTCTCACAGTTCTGACTTTCCTTCTCAGATTTGAGTTTATATCTTGCAATTCTGACTTTTTTCTTAAAACTGAGAGGAAAAAGTCTGTAGTTGTACTCAGAATTGCAAGGAAAAGTGTCAAAATTGTAAAAAAAGTTGCCTTTAAAAAAAAATAAAAAAAATTCTATTTAAAAAAAATCCATAGAATTCTAACTAAAAATCACACACTATGTTGGTAAATATAAAATTTTTTTATTACACTTCTCTGTCTGTACAGCTGCTTGGAGTGATATGAATGAATCCCAGATAGACCAAATACTAAATGAGTTATTTCTCAACAGTAAAATGCTGTTGCATAACCACTACTTTAATTGGCCAGCGACATAACGTTATACCTTACCTCGCTTCAGAGTCAGGAAAAGATCATATCTCCAGGAACTGCATGAAGACCTTGCCCCCTATTAAAACATCCTGTGGATGTGTTCTGGTCGGCTCATAGGTGAATTTAAAAGGTTCAAAGTGATTGCAACCCAAACTAACACATTTATGCACATACAATGCATTTTGTTCCAATAAATATTTAATGGTACCACTGATGTCTGTTTTCATCCAGAGGATTTCAACTCCGTACAGCAACATCTACATGTTTCCTAGATGTGTGCTATAGCCTGTATAACAGGTGTGTAATGGTGATTTTGCACTTTTACATGACTGTATTCACCTCCACAATGAGAGCTGAACAGGATGAACTAGTTCTTATGAAACAACAGCAAATTCCCAATGACCGATTGAGGTGTGAAGACATATACGAATGAGGCTAGACATGGTGTATTTAGATACTGTATGCATGTAGCCTACACAGGTTACAGTGCGTGCTGGTCCCTCTTTTTTTTCAAATTGTGCTAAAATGGCAATTCTATAAGGGCAGTTTTAATGGCTTTACTCAAGTGACCTTTTTCTATAAGAATTAGGAATAAATTATTCACTTTCACTCTCAGCACTTAATGAGGCGCAAATGATTTTCATTGCATCATGACCTTTGAGCAAAAAAATCACAAGTTTCACTTTTGAGTGAACACCATCTAAGGCTAGACTGTTTAAACAAATAGGACTTTGCAAGCATATTTGACATTTTTTTTGCTTGCATGCAAATATATATTTTGACTCATCAGACTGAACTCTTGTAGACGGTTAGTATAGCCTAATCTCCAGTGCTAAAAGCTGTTACCCAGGTCGATTGAGTAACAAGCTCCTCTGAGATAAACAAAAAGATGCACTGGTAGTCAATGCAATACAAGTAGTAAAACAAGATCTCTCTCTCATTCCTCTCTTTTCCTGCATCTGTGTGAGAGTGAATGCGTGTTAATCGTCCCGTATTTAGGGCATCAAGATTGTCCCGTATTTAAGGCATATGCCGTATGTACCATCTATAGACCATGCATAACAAAATCTAAACTGTGAATTAGTAATTTGTGTTTGATTAGTGAACATAGCCGTTTTTACAAACGCAAACAACGTGATTATTTTTCATGAGTCCAACATCCAGCCATTTCTACCTGAGGGAAGACGTGATCAATAAGGGGAGTTGTCTTTTCACAATTGTTGTATTCTTAACCTTGGACCTCATTCTTGAAACACAAAATGACCAATGAATGTCATACAGTACTAGGCCTATTTGCATACTGTTTTTATACAGTCAATGATTTATCCTTTTCTGAAGTTGGCAACCGTAGCCACGCCCCCGACAACTCGAGAATGACAAACAACCTTATCTGACCTGGCTTTCTTTTCCTCTATTTATGTATGTATGTATGCATGTATTTATTGGTGTGTAAGACTATTAAAAAGACATGCAAAACACATAAGCCAGATTCAATAGGAAAATGTGTTGTGGTTGCTAAGGGATTCCTTGCAAACTGGGTCAAACTGACATTTATTATGACACAATGTTGAACTATTTCTATTTTGAAAATCAAGTTCATGTAATGTTTTTTGAGGTATTAGTTGATTTGCCTGACTCAAACATTCCATCATTTTTGATAAAATGACAAACTTGATAACACAAGATGGTTAAAATATAAAATTAAAATATTAAAATTCATTTTCAGTTGACAAAATCATGCAAGCTAACTGTTAGTCCCTCACTGACTAACATTTCGCTTCACTTCTACCTTTAGCCTACTTGATTTTCTTTATAAAAAGTTCAGATGCTTGGTTAACCAAAACATATTTCTAAATGTCTGCTATTCCTTAAAACAGCATCAAAATCCTTTTTAAAGTTGCATGTACTATAACATCACAAATGACCCACTGGCAATCAGGCATGAGTTTTGTTGCAGCTACGCAGTTTGCATGCAAAGAGGGCGCGTGCATGACTCATCAAAAAAAACGTCAAGTCTTATATAAGGAGCGTCGCGCGAGCTTCTGTGCTCTGCACTGTCTGAAACAGCCTTCACTACCCACTTTATTCTGCACGAGTAAGTACCTTATGCACTTTTAAGTACGTATGATCGTGCATTAGGTCTACATTATGTCGGATGTGTTGCTTGTAAATAATTGTATTGCGCTGCTATAACAAATCACTGACGGCGTCGTTGCACTCAGCAATGTGTCTGAAGAAGATAGAGCTTAAGCCTGCATTACATAATGTGCAGCTATTTAAATAGATCTGCTCGAGTCCATTCAACGCCTGCATAGCCAAACTGAACGATACGTTTTAAAACTGCAATATGTGTTAATCATATTTCTAAGGTTTTGCATGACCTTGCATGACTATTTTGAAGTATGCTAACGTTACATTATTGTATGTGCATGATTTGAAAGCGTTATGTAATGCTTAATTGCTCGCGCATTCAGAAAAAGACAGGGCATTCTAGTAAACATGTAGTTGGCGTGCAAATTTGCCTTTACAATCGCTGCAATACATTCCCCCTGATTACTTCCTTTTTAGGCTGTTTTCATTTCCGTGTGTTCTGCAGTTCCTCTTAACTGTTTTCCTGTTTATTTATTTATATTCTCTCTTTTTTTGCAGTGGCTCCCTACACACTCACGTACTTTCCAGTCAAAGGTTTGTATGAAAGGCTGATTCTGTAATCTTGTCACACGATGCGTGTTACTCCTCAGAAAATTCTGGAATCGTGAAGTGGTTCGGTTTAAACAGTATTATGTAATGGAGCTGCAAACAAAAGAAGTGCAAGTTGCATGCAATGCGAGCCATATGTAACCATTAAAGAAGCCTTCTATTTAAGTAATTGATTGAATTTGCATGCAACTTTAACCAGATTTAAAATAGTATTATTTGCATATTTTATAATACAGATTTCCAGCTAATAAACTTGTATTCTAAGAACGTTTTGCTAACATTCCTATTAAGTTATTTCAGAATGATTTCATAATACACGCAGTATATCAAAACCTCCAGTTTTTAAAACGTGTTTCAGTAGTTAACTTTTTTTTTTTTAAAGCGAGTTCCCATTTTATAATTTACCAAAAGTTATGTGAACACTATATTTGAATGTTATTTGGACATTCCGAAACCAGTATTGACATTAAAAAAAAAAACGTTAGATGAATGTCAAACTAAAATATAAAATGTTCCATGAGCAACGTATAAATGTTTTTGTGCTAGTGTTTTGAGACCGTTATTATAGACCAGATATCTTTGCACAAATGTTCTAGTAACGTTACTGGTAGTAGAATGTTTGGTCATAACTTTGACTTTGAGAGAACCTTTCCAGAACGTTAAAGAATGTTCGGAGAACATTCCTTGTTAGCTGGGTTAGTATTTACGATATACAGTGGGGAAAATAAGTATTTAGTCAGCCACCAATTGTGCAAGTTCTCCCACTTAAAAAGATGAGAGAGGCCTGTAATTTTCATCATAGGTATACCTCAACTAGGAGAGACAAAATGAGAAAAAAAAATCCAGAAAATCACATTGTAGGATTTTTAAAGAATTTATTTGCAAATTATGGTGGAAAATAAGTATTTGGTCAATAACAAAATTTCATCTCAATACTTTGTTATATACCCTTTGTTGGCAATGACAGAGGTCAAACATTTTCTGTAAGTCTTCACAAGGTTTTCACACACTGTTGCTGGTATTTTGGCCCATTCCTCCATGCAGATCTCCTCTAGAGCAGTAATGTTTTGGGGCTGTCGCTGGGCAACACGGATTTTCAACTCCCTCCAAAGATTTTCTATGGGGTTGAGATCTGGAGACTGGCTAGGCCACTCCAGGACCTTGAAATGCTTCTTACGAAGCCACTCCTTCGTTGCCCGGGCAGTGTGTTTGGGATCATTGTCATGCTGAAAGACCCAGCCACGTTTCATCTTCAATGCCCTTGCTGATGGAAGGAGGTTTTCACTCAAAATCTCACGATACATGGCCCCATTCATTCTTTCGTTTACACAGATCAGTCGTCCTGGTCCCTTTGCAGAAAAACAGCCCCAAAGCATGATATTTCCACCCCCATGCTTCACAGTAGGTATGGTGTTCTTTGGATGCAACTCAGCATTCTTTCTCCTCCAAACACAACAAGTTGAGTTTTTACCAAAAAGTTATATTTTGGTTTCATCTGACCATATTGGGATTTTTGCTCCCAGTTCTTGTGATCATTTTGACCCCATGGGGTGAGATCTTGCGTGGAGCCCCAGATCGCGGGAGATTATCAGTGGTCTTGTATGTCTTCCATTTTCTAATAATTGCTCCCACAGTTGATTTCTTCACACCAAGCTGCTTACCTATTGCAGATTCAGTCTTCCCAGCCTGGTGCAGGTCTACAATTTTGTTTCTGGTGTCCTTTGACAGCTCTTTGGTCTTGGCCATAGTGGAGTTTGGAGTGTGACTGTTTGAGGTTGTGGACAGGTGTCTTTTATACTGATAACAAGTTCAAACAGATGCCATTAATGCAGGTAACGAGTGGAGGACAGAGGAGCCTCTTAAAGAAGTTGTTACAGGTCTGTGAGAGCCAGAAATCTTGCTTGTTTGTAGGTGACCAAATACTTATTTTATCGAGGAATTTACCAATTAATTCTTTAAAAATCCTACAATGTGATTTTCTGGATTTTTTTTTTCTCATTTTGTCTCTCATAGTTGAGGTATATCTATGATGAAAATTACAGGCCTCTCATCTTTTTAAGTGGGAGAATTTGCACAATTGGTGGCTGACTAAATACTTTTTTGCCCCACTGTATCTATGTCTGTTATTTTAGTAAAACGATGCACAATACCGTCTCTGTTCAGAGAATAACAAGTAGAATATTCTTCACTCCGCTGCTAATCTTTGGCAGCCTGCATGTTCTCTCGTGCCAGCCAGCTTTTGGTTGTCCAATCAAAATGTGACATTTGTCTGAAGGCATTTGCCCTAGATTGGGAGGAATGGCAGTTAACTTCAGCCCACATACAGTGGTGGGGGGGAATCCTTTGTTGGACGTAACTTGAGTGTTTGCAGACTTGAGTGTCATTGTGTCTAATGTCTTTGATGCATCATGTGATCACACACTTGGAGAATTGTAGATTGCTGTTAACCCCATGTCATGTGCATCTCACAGGCAGATGTGGTGCCTTGAAGATGATGCTGGCGGACAATGGGCAGCAGCTGAAGGAGAATGTGGTGTCCATAGAGGAGTGGATGAAGGGTGATCTGAAAGGCAGCTGTGTGAGTTAGAGAACTACTATTATTATTTTTTTTTAATAAATGTAAATCGGTTTAATGTAGTTTAAACTGTATGCCTTCATTAACATGCTGGTTGTTTTTTTTTGTTTTGTTTTTTAGCTCTTTGGACAGTTGCCTAAATTTGAAGATGGTGACCTGGTCCTGTATCAGTCCAATGCCATGTTAAGGCATTTGGGTCGCAAACATGGTAACAATCACTGTTAATGCATTAGAATAAAATCAAGCATATTTAAGTTTGTTTATTTAAAAAAAAAAAAAAAAGAAAACCTGCCATTTTTATAATTTACATTTTAAACATTTCTTTCCGAGATAATAACTGGATGCCACTCGCTTAATTAAACATGCAATGTAATGTGGTCATGTGGCAATAGTTTGGCATACTATTGTTTAAAACCTTCCTTGTTGCATTATGCATATTCTTTTTAAAATTATATGCAATATACAGTATATACAGAAGTGTTAATAATTTTCTTTTTCACATTCAGGTGCATATGGAAAAAAGGACTGTGAGGCTTCTCTTATTGACATGATGAATGATTCAGTTGAAGATCTTCGCCTAAAATACATTAAGCTGATCTACCAGGAATATGTAAGTACTGATGTGACTGTAAATCTAGTCTGCGTCAGATAAGTAAATAAATACTAAATTTAAATATTTTATATTCATTCAATTTCTTTAAAAAAAATGTATTCCAATTGTTTCCTTTTTTTATTTATACATTTTTTACCATTTATTGCCATTTTGGTGCAAATGCATGGTAAACCAAGTTTCTTTTGTAATTATTACCCAAGAAGACATTGATAGTTTTCTATTTTTGTGTCCCCATCTGTAGGAGACTGGTAAAGAAGCATACTGCAAAGATCTGCCCAACCACCTCAAACCATTTGAATCTATTCTGTCCAAAAGCAAATCTGGATTCCTAGTTGGTGATCAGGTGAGAAATCCAGCACAGACACCAGAAGAGTAACGGATGTAATTTAGTACATTTAATTCTGACTGCCACCCATGTTTCAAATCTCCTCCCAGATCTCATTTGCTGACTATAACCTGTTCGACCTTCTGCTGAATCATAAAGTCCTTTGCTCTGCCTCTCTGGACTCCTTCCCAGCTCTCAAGAGCTATGTGGATAAGATCGCTGCCCGTCCCAAAATCAAAGCACTCCTGGAGTGTGAAAACTTCAAGAAGCTTCCCATCAATGGCAATGGCAAGCAGTAATTCAGTAGAATATTCTCAAACAATGGCACTTGCTGTTAAAAGGCCTTAACTGTTGCCCTGTGATTAGCAAAACATCTTATGTCTTTGTATGAATATCTATTTTCTGTGTTTAACTGTTTTTGATCGTTTTTACTAAAATCCATGTATCAATTATCATGAATAAAAAAAAAATTAAGCATCCAGAATGGTTTCAGTGCTGCTTTAAAGAACAACTCTATACCTATATATGAAACATGTTTTAGATTGCCTGAAAAATAACAAATTTAGTTTTTTTTTATTTTTTTTTATTTTAAAGTTGAATATTTTAGTAACTTTCCAAAAATGACTTCTATGCTGCCTTTATTTACATTAAAATGGTTAGTGAACATTCAAATTTATTATACTTAAAAAGATGTAGATAGTGATGAGCATTTGTTAATCTGAGTAATTAATTACTTAGTTGAAGTTATATTTTATATATAAATTCATTCCCGTTTGCCTTTTTTTTTTTTTTTTTTTTTTTTTTTTTTTTTTTTTTTTTTTTTCCTTCATTTTCCGATATTATTTTTAGTAATTTGATTAAAAAAATATTTAAAGGGGTCATATGATGTTGACATGATGCTAAAAAGAATATTATTTGGTGTAATGAAATGTGTTTATGCGGTTTAAGGTAAAAAAAAAAACATTAATTTCCACATACTGTACATTATTGTTTCTCCTCTATGCCCTGCCTTTCTGAAACGCGTAGATTTTTACAAAGCTCATCGTTCTGAAAAGCGAGGTGTGCTGTGATTGGCCAGCTATCCAGTGTGTTGTGATTGGCCGAATACCTCAAGCGTGAGACGGAAATGTTACGCCCCTACCATACTGTGATGTCTTGTCCTGGCCAGAGCGACGAGACAACATGAAAACTCATAAACGAGGCATTTGTTGCATCCAGTGGGGACATAATTATGGATTATAATGACTTATACTGTCTTTTTACGCGTTACGTTGCATCGCGCTGCGTAAACATAAAACCATGTCTGCATTTGTGATCGGAGAAATGACAAACAACAAGCGCTACTCTACACTGCCCAACTTGCATTTGAATCGTCAGTGAAAGTGACGTGACATGTGGCTAAGTAGGGTGACCCAAACTCAGAATTAGTGATCTGCATTTTTATCCAATCAAAAGTGCACACACAGCAGTGAACGAACACACACCCGGAGCAGTGGGCAGGCTTTTTTTTTTTTTTGCTGCGGCGCCCGGGGAGCAGTTGGGGGTTCGGTGCCTTGCTCAAGGGCACCTCAGTCGTGGTATTGAAGGTGGGAGAGAGCGCTGTACATTCACTCCCCCCACCTACAATCCCTGCCGGCACGAGACTCGAACCCACAACTTTTGGGGTTATGAGTCCTACTCTCTAACCATTAGGCCACGACTAAAAATGAAAACATACTTCCAGTCCGTGAGTCAGAACAGCCGGCTCAGGAAACAGTCCTCCATAAAATGCGTTGCACACAAATTAATATTTGGGTTGAACTGTTCTGGAACAGTGTTGTAAATACAACTTAACCACTAATTTCTAGTCGTGTCCTCTTTTGGAAGACCAAACAAAGTAGTTTTGCTTCCACAACGAAACACAGCGTCACACACTGTGGGCTAGAGTGAGCGGTGGTGGGCTTGAGTGAATAAAAGTTACGCCTTCTTTCTTTGCGTGGACATTTGGGCGGCATTATGCAAATCTTTCCACATCGTGACGTAGACATGTGGGGGCGTGTTAGAACGAGCCGTTTTAGGTAGGCGTGGCTGACTCTTAACTTTTATAAAGAATATCTCTTTGGATTTGAGACTTTAGTCTTTGCAACTTTACAGATCTTCTTTATGCAGCAAGAGCTTGTAACACTCCAAAGAGCGTTTTAAACTGACCCCTTTAAACTGAAACAATTGTATTGCAATATATAGTATATTACATATATTTAAATATAATACATTTTATAAGTAATAAAATACAATATATTTGCAAATGTATCTTTTTTTTTATCAGTATTGTGTGTCTGTGTAAAAAAATAAAAAATAACGGGAATTAATTTAAATATAAATACATTTTAAACACACACACACACACACATATATATATATATATATATATATATAAATACACAAAATATATATTAAAATAAATATATAAAATCTAAATTATATTACATATAATTTATAGTTTGTGTGTGTTTTAATCAAAATAATGGGGGAAATGTAATAAATGAAAAGAAAAAACAACTGGAATTAATTTAAACTAATAATATGAACATACATGCACAGTATAATTGCTATAAAGTGTGTGTGTGTATTAAATGTATAATATTAGATTTATTTATTGATTCGATTAAATTGTTTTATAATATTGTACTTTTGTTTTCACCATTAGTTCCTACATTTCTACATTTCACCATGTTTTCGGCCTAGTGCTGTCCTGTTTCAGCTCTACTCGACTTTGACAGGCTTTTATTTTGAAACCGTTCTTGATCAAACGTGTCTCTGCCTTCACGCGTCTGTCAGCTCAGTTCTGCATCTCCACAGTTAATTTATCCAGGTGCAGTTTCTATAATGTCTTCTGTTGAAGAAATGTCCAACTCCGTGGCGGAGAGTTTGGAGGAGGACGGAGTAGAAGAGGAGAACACTGTGGAGGAGCCTGTTAAAGGCGGTTATATCTTCTACCGGTGAGCTTAGCAGCTAGCTTACTTAGCATGATAACTGAGTGAGTGTGTGTGCGGCTAATCACTTCAGTAAGAGATGGTTATTTAATCTCATTATTATTGAATTATGTGGGACATCCGCTTTGAATAACGTTTTAGACATACAAGCAATGCACTTCCGTGTGCAGGCAGCTGTATTAGCTTGTTTTATAGGAGTGATTTACATGAACTGAATCAGGAGCGTATTCAAGATGTGAATTAAAAATGGTTTAAAAATCGTGAGTAAGTGTAAGTTAATAGGGTAATCCTTGGTAAACACTCTATAATCACTACAGATGTGTTTTGATGTTAGCTCTCTGAGAGAATCACGTGAGCTGAATCAATACGTTAAACATTCATATGAACTGAATCAAGAGAATTGAACAGGATGTAAACAATCTGTGTAATCCAGACAGAGCAGAACTAAAGGAGTCTTTTCATCCCAATTTAACACTAGATTAGATATTTTCTTATGGCAGTTTTCATTTTCTGAGTGATTCACCTCTGAAGAAGTAATCCTGGGTTAAAGGAGTCTTTTAAATCCTGATCAGGAAAAGTCTGTTTAATCCTGAGTTACCAGGTACCACCATACAGGAGATGTTTTCTGAGGGTAATTTTTCACATTTGACTCATTCATTCTAAGTGGTTGAGTCACATGAGATGAATCCAGAACATTGAGCCTAATGTAATATGCCCAAAAAGCTGTTATAGATGCTATCACCTAGTGCTGGGCGGTATGACCAAAAATGTATATCACGGTATTTTTCAGAATTATACCGGTTTCATGGTTCATGACGGTATTTTTTTTTCATGCATGACCGGGTGTTAACCATATATTCTACTGATTGAGAGAGGAAATACTGCAGTATATTGACCTAGAATGCCCTATTTTACTGTCATGATGAGTGAATATTGTCAAAAAATACCACACTAAATAGTGACTTAACACGACCCCTTTTAATACATGTTAACCAGGAGTCACTCATTTATAATCGCAGCATCGTCTGATAAAATCAACATGCATCTACACTAAAGAGCGGCTATGCGGTTGTTTTGGCTATATTACTTTTTTGCCTCATGCAGCGCACTGCCTGTGTCTGAGTAACAAACTAAAAAAAACAACAAACAAAAAAGTGCATATGATATTAACAGACGAACTCCGTTCATATTTATAATTCCAAACAATCGGTAAGAGACAGGTGCTAGGAAATGCTCTTTTGTACTCATTTATTGACGAGTCAGCTGCGGAGCGGTCAACTGAATGCGCTGCTTCTCTGCCGCTCACTACACAGAACAGACGCCGAGAGAGGCGACTCTTCTCCGGGAAAGTCAGACTTCACGGGACAGCACTGGCACATAGCTAAGGTTTATCCCAAAAAGTCGCTAGGTTTGTCAGTATG